ATAAATACTGTAAAACCTTCTTGTAAAGTATAAAAAATAAGTATGGAGTAATAACTAAAAGTTTATCTTTAATTAATGTTTTAATTCAATGGTACAGTTTTGTCCTCAGATTGAGCAACAGGTGTAGCCTGCCAGGCACCAAAGGGTTAAACATAGTTGGCTATATAAATTTTTGTAAAAGTGCAAATTATATGTTTATAAGACTAATTTCTATATTTTCAATACATTCAGTTCTGCTACACTTTAGCTAGATCATTTAAAACACTGGAAATTCCCAAGGCCAATCATAATGGTTTGTTTTTGTTCCAAGGATAGACAATGGGCTATCTTCATTCTGTCCACCACATGAAATAAAACCCCCAATTTTGGCATTTTAAGTATGTAAACTTACTTCTGACCACCAGATGACCAATTATCTTCATTTGCAAAGTATTAAAAAGTGAAAAATTAAGCTAGATTTGAAAGCCTTCACATATTAAAAGCAAGATCTATTGCATATATTCTTTATTCTTCTTCTTAATCTCATTAGGAAATAGAAAAAGATCAAGAACAAAAATTAAAAATAATTAAAATGAATAACATCCATTTTTTTCGTCTTTAACTTTACATTTAAAAATATTTTAACATTTTATATATATTTTACATAAACAGACCTACGTAAAGCAATGAAGTTATTGGGGATATATCAAGATATTTTCCATTCAGCTGAATGGTCTTGCATTACCTTACTTGTGTGTACTGCTAAAATATCTCATACCTGTAGCACTATTAAAGTTTTTTCATATATATAAATACACACTTTGTTACTGTCTTCCTGCAACTGAAGTTCAATTGTTAATCTCTGTATCTCTCCTAACAAGTATTCTTGAGAAAAGTTGGCTGAACCTTTAGAAGTGTCTGTACCTTCTTTTCTACTGCTAAGATGGGCCTGTGAAAGTATAAAGAGAAAATTTATTGAAATATATCAGACAGTGAGAAATTAATCACTGTTTTTTAAAAAAAGAATCCAATACCACTTGAGGTATTCTTTGATTTACAGAAATATATCAGATCTTAATTACACCAGCCACAAGCAAAAGTTACTTTTCATGCTAATAATAGTGTCAAATTTTACAAATCAGTCTAAAGCTATTGGTAGATGTATGATTAGCATTTTCATGTACTTTTTATTGATATTACAACTGATCAGGAAATAGAATTATGGAGTTTTGGCACTAATTTGTACAAATCTGTTATTTGAGAACACAACAAATCCATTCAATATCTGCCATATTTGTTTCATTTGAGCAAATTTTACTATAAAAATGTTCCATTACTACATTCTGAATTCTTAGTGATAGATAACAACAATGTTTTGACATATTTGGAAACAGTGACTATTTATACCAATTTTTATGGTTTTACCATCATGTTTATTATTAAAAATAATGATAAATTTTTTATAACTAATATAAATTCATTAGATTTATTATTGAGGGGTACTGTTAAAAGTAGCCATGTGGCTTAGTAGTAAGTATGAGGGCTTATAATGATCTAAATTGGGTTTCACTCCTCCAGGTTGGCACAGCACAGATAGTCCATTGTGTAGCTTTGTTGTTAACAACAAAGAAACAAACATTTCAAAATTCCTTTATTTTAAATTCTTCAAGCTATGACCAAGATATTAAACAAATATATATAGCCAATACTATTTATCATACCTCTCTCTCGATTGTTATAATTAATAACAAAAAATAGTGAAATGATTAGATTTAATTAATTATATTAAGGCACTGAACCAAAATATTCTCTTGTTAACAAAAAAGGAAACATCATTCAAAACTGTAGATATATAATGTACCCCTTTTAAAATCAATATATATTAAAATTTAAGTTGTTATGGAGCTATTCATTTAAGTACAAAGATCTGAATATTTACTAAAAAGTTTTATGTAAGAGATATGTGGGTCGCTTTGTAAATTGAATGGAATTAAAATAAGTAGGGTAAAGCTCTGTGAATAATATTAGTCTATCATGCAAGTACCTTCAGGATCAAAGAAATATCCATGTCATTGTCAAAAACAACGTAAACCTAAAGGAATTCTTTTGCAATTTTCTGTAAACACAGCATAAATTATGATGTACGACAATGAAAACTTCAGAAATCTTTTTAATGATTTAAGTACATACAAATATGACAATTAAGTTCAGTTCAGTAATTTTAAACTTGAATTCAAAGACATTTAACATTTCAATAATATCTAACCCAACCCTTAGTTACAGGAAATCTCATTTCACAATAAGCTTAGCTTATTTAATTAGTGCATCTAAGTTTAATAATCGTAGAAACTTTTCATACACAACTAAAAATAAATTTTTAAATTCAATAAATACACAATACGTACACGAAATAAATAACTTTTTTCAATGATGTTTTGAGTTCTTCTCTTGCTGCAACATTAGCATGTTTATCAACTTTGGCATCTGCAGCAGTAGCCTTGTATACGGATTTACTGAAAGCACCATCAATGTATTCTATAACTTCATATCTATCTGCTAATATTCTATTGTATCTCTTCATCGTTTTTCTAAACAGTCTGGATCAGATCTTGAATTATTTTGTCTCTTTCCTGGGATCTTACTTCTAAGGTTTTAATTTTTTTTATCTTGTTTAAAGAGCCTCTGTTTTGTCACCTAAAATAATGAACATTAACTATAGAAACAACAGATAACTATAAAATTTCATCACAACTACAATCCATGTAAAGTACCTATAATATGCTAAAATTAAAAGAGTAAAATGTAAATATGCTTATTATGAGGAAGTGATAACCACAAAAATTCCATAAGCTAATATGTATTTCAATTTCTTAAACGTTTTGATCACTTATTTAAAATATCCTTAGGAAAATGTAAACATATGTCAAAACAATGAGTTTATATGGCACTCATTAGTTTTTGCTGGATTTGATTCTATCTTATTCAGTTTGAACTCTTGGGTGCTGAATTACAATTAATATTTATTAGACGTATTAACATGTGTTCTGTGTTTTTTGCTGCAATGGTTAGATTACATGGTAGTCATGATCTTGGTACATGTTTTATCGATAAATATACACTAAAAACACTTGGAAACATAATGAATTACATATTAATTTAACCACTTTTCTACATAAACAGTATGTTCTACTAAGAAGTAAACACTAGAATCAGAAAATGTACCTTTATTTCATCTTCTTTTTTAAATATTACTTCTTCCAGTTCTTTCACCCTCTGTTTTAACTTGCTTTGTGCTGTACTCTCTTCTTCACTTAAAACATTTACAGTCTAAGAAGCAGAGAAAAATAAATAAAAATTACAATCTTAAAAATTATCAATACATTTTATATGAACACTATATCAAAATTTACAATAAAAATGACTTAAATTATTAATATAAAAAACAACAACCATGAAAATCTTTCAATTTGCAAAAGACCCAAAATTAGCTCATTTACGAAAGATACTGGTAAATGTATAAGTTTAACCACAGCTGAAAATATGGAAAAATATTACTTCTTGCAAAAAGACATGTAAATTATTATTATTACCAAAGATTTAAGAACTATTCAGTATTGAATTTTTTTAACTTTTTCAATAGAGTTTTCCTTAACTGACATCAACACCAAAAGCTTTTTTATGGGTTTCATTACTCTGATCTTTCACAATGTCTTTTTTTCTTCTACATTTTTTCTCAATCTGAAGTTCCTGAAATTTATATGAATCATTTCAAATGGAAATTATTGAAGACAAAAAGAGGAAAGTTTGTGCAGCCTTAAGTACATATATATTATATGATGACTTTATATAATGAATGAAACTTATACTAGTCTTTTGAAACAATGTTCTTCTGTCAGTATTAAATTAAATACCTTGATCTCAACTGTGAACTGAAACAAAGCTCTGACATATTTCTTTACCCTTTATTCCACCCTAGTACTTGCAGAGATTCAATCGCATCAATCATTAAAAAAACATTATTTAATATATAAGAAATACTCACTATAAGTACCTTTTCAAATAATGTTTAATAAAGTGAGAAAGAAAACTATGGAACAACATTTTTAAACGTTTGTATTTGATCTTTGAATTTATCCATCTGGAAAAATAAGCTCATTTACTAATCAAAAATTATATTTTAAAGTTAGTTTCAAGTTATTTCAATACCTCTACAATAGCCAAGACTAGATATCACAATGTTTAAAATGCATTATCATACACTTGTATAAGGGTTAAATAAAATAAATTTTAAATTACAGTCTGGTCTCTTCAAATAACTTGAACCAAAAGCATAGTCACATAAAATTAATGTAAATAAAAAACCTGTACTTTTAGTTAGATGTACGAAATTCATTTTGTATTACTCTAAGAGAAACTCCATTGTAACAATATGGACAATGGTGTGCTATTTATATATTCTGTGTTTCTGAATTCATTCTTTGTTATGAATATAAGCAGGTATCACATAACGCATGTTAAAAGAAGGAAGAGAAAATGTTGTTGTTTCAAGTTCCCTTTGTTGTTCTGAGAAGCAGAGAATACCTGTTATTACCTAAGAAAAACACTGCTTAATAAAACACATCACCTAAGGACATAGGGAGCAGTACCCTTTAATAGTTGTTTAGGTGATGTCTAGAGGTTATGGCCCCACCTATACTGTAATGAGAATTACCAGTTATGTGGGTAGCACATCCTGCTCTGGGAAAATGTAAGGTTTATAAGAAGCTGAGAAATGGGGCATTTAAACAGCCAAAAAAGTCTGGAACTTTGTCTTTAATAATATAGTCTAGTCTGAAATTGGGCTTCCATTTTAAATGGCCTGATACAAGACAACACCAGAATAAACTAAAGGAAGAGCTAGTATAAAATGATGGTTGAACATGTTTTGAGCATCCAAGCAGGCACACAAGCTATATTGTATAATATACAACATTACATAATAAGGACTGACTATGCATTTTGTGTTCCATTTTATGTCCAGTCTCTTTATTTCATTTAATATCAATCCAGTCAGTAAACATTTAAGCATTAATCTGTAATCAATATCTTGAGAGAATACTCAGTCAGAGGCATTGCTAGGCACTGGCACAGAGGGCCCATGCCCCAATTCTATTTGACAGTGCCCTAAATCCCCAGATGGTGTCTTGAAAGATCAGAATAGAAAACCATGATACATGTCATACTGAAACACAGAACATTCCCAAGAGTTCTGGGCCTGAATCTTTTAAGTACCTAGTGACATCTCTGTCTCCAGTTATCAAGTGGACCTATCCTCTGTAGCTCAATAGTTAAGTTTTACTTGGATATATCACAATGGCAAATGAAAATTAACCTGAAAGGAAAAATTTAGTTACCAAATATTCAAAAAATTTTTTAGCTATTAACTTCTCTCCTTATTCTTTGCCGCTGTTCAGTATGTTGCTAAAGCAGACTCACAAAAAAAAAAAGTTTAGAGAGTTACAATTACAAACTTTCTAACTCACTTGTTCTAGTGTTACCACTTTCTCTTCAAGATGAGATTTTTCATCATCCATTTTTTGTTTTAGTTCTTCTATTTCTTTTCCATTATGATGTTCTAGCTTCTCTAAGATGCATCTATTATGAAATAAAACTAACCATGTATTCCATATCTAAATACTGGAGGAAAATATAGGAACATTTTAATAATCCATACATGTATAAAACTTTAAATATAGATTTCAAATAGCATCATCTTCATAAAAATTATAGATTGCTAACATTAGTTACACCTGGTTAAAACTGTATGTATACATAAAACATTAACATTGCAAGTATTAAAGAAATAATAGAAACTATATAAAGAAATTGTTTTATGCTATCTATATGTTTTATGCAAAGAACTTTTAACTACCTGTACAACTCTCACTATGAATAAGGCTTTTTAACTTGTTCTTTAGTGACACACAAAATTTTATGTACCTATGTTTAGTTTTGGTGTGTCTGATTTAATATTATTCTTGGAAGCTATAGTTTTTATCTCATTACATTTTCAACATTAAAATTATATATATAATCAAATCTAATTTATTTTTGTGTTAAAATTCTTCTTGCTGCTAGAGGAGTTAATTAAAGCTTATCCTTACATAAGCTTTACAAACTAATTTATTCTGCATATTTCATTAATTCATAAAAATTGATAATAGATTTCTTTTAATTCAAGTATGCTAAGAAACAGATAAATCTGACGGAAGTTCTGCATCTTAACTGAATGTGCATGGGATTGTTCCAGGAAAAAGATCCCATACTAGGGAAGTGACGTTCACTATAATTCCAAAATTTGGAAATGTATCTTCATGAAACGTGGCAAGCTCATAATAAACAAAACAAGTCTGTTGTACACACACAAAAAATGTTTTAATAAAGTTTTTTTGTATTAAAGATATTTCTAATGAAATGACAAAGTCAGTCTGACTCGCACTCTGACAAGTCAGAGTATAAGCAGATGTTCATGTGAAGAATAAAAATACTTTTGTCCACTACAGAGTTTGTAAATTACATTTGCATAACATCTACAATCTTCTAAATATATATCTACAGTTTTCTCCAGTATTCCTGTATATTGCGTCTGGTATATCCTTCATTCTAACATCAATTGTCACAAAATCATCAATGAATGGTAAAAATGTTGAATGGCAATCTCAGAACATGGTTGAAACAAGCACACTGTGACCTCCTCCCATGCACATGTGGTTAATAATTAGCTATAATATGTTACAAATACTAAAAATAGTTTGTTTTGGGAGACATGCATAGATGATATGAATCCTCTGTTCATATCTGTATGTCTTCAGCAAGTAAACAATGTTAGACAAAAACAATAAATATTTAAAAGAGTAGGCCTTAAATTTAACATATAAAATAACAAAATTACTTATAAAAGCTAAGTGATATAAGAGTTGTTACTATAAGTAAACTTTAACACACATTATAGTTTATACCCTGATGCAATGCCACTATCATAATGATATACTTTTTTGTTTCAGAATTTTTCATAATGCTACACAAGGGCTATCTATGCATAGCCATACTTAATTTGAAACTGGGAAACTAGGAAGTAGGTAGCTATGGCCAAAAACACCCAATATAAACTTCTGGACTATTTTTGCTTGATTTAAAAAGTGGGATATTTGACTATCATTCCTATAATACAAAGAATGTTTTAGTGCAAATAGATTAAAAATCAACAAATTCAATGCAGAAAAAAATCTATTTCTGTATAATCTCAAAATAGAAATGTTTCCAAATTAAAGTTACACTTTTACTACCTACTAAAGTTATAATTTTCCTAAATTGAAAATGTATTTCCAATAGATGGATACCTCTTCTCACATAATAGCTTTTTGTTCAGTGCTGCCCTCTATATGCACAAATTTTTTTTGCTTGCCATTAGCCTTGATACTCCCACCTACCCCACGTGTTTAACATGGTACAGCTCCACTGTTGCATGCAAATAAGCATGCGACAACCCTCCATCAATAGGAGTGCGACAAACTCTCCTGGCACAGCTGGCTCTCTCTATACTGTAGAACCCAATTATCACTTTGAGATTAGGCAAAAGAGAAACACTGGAAATAGTGAGGAAGGGTGGGAAGTTTGAGATGAGGTAAGTATCTATCAAAAATACATTTTCAATTTAGGAAAATTATAACTTCCAATACGATACCTTACCTCCACTTATATAATAGTTAGAATCCCACAGTGAAGTGGTGGAGGGACTGGTGCAAAACATACCTAGATGAGCACCCTTCAGAAAGCATCCAAAGAGAGCCCATGGAGCCTATAGGGACAATGACATTTTTAAACCCCTTTCTGCTCATGTTACTGTGTTACATTCAAAACTTAGTTAAACTACTTTAGTATCAATGTAATTACTTAAATATGTTATAATTAGAGTTTTATTAATTATCTAAGTTATTATTCTTTTATTTTAAAAAAACCTTTAAAACAATAATTTAAAATTGTGCTTTAGAAGAAATTGTAGTGTAAATGTAGATGTTCTCTCAGAGACATTCAAAACACAGTGTATACAGTCTGTTTACAAGTAATTCCAGAGCATTCCAAGAAATTGTCTTGGAGATAACAGTTGTAAAAGTTTCCTCAGTTCAAGATAAGCCATGTCCAATTGCAAAGTAGAAAATGTGTTGGTAAACAGATAGTTTCAAGTAAAATGCTATGCTTATAGCTAATAAAGAGAGCCAATTTCATGCTGTATTTCCTAAGGTATGAAGTTAATTGATGTTTGCATTTTACAGAGGAAGTCGAAAAAAAAGCTTAGTCTATTGTTGAACACAATGTCCCTAGCACTTACCTGTTTTTTTCCTTATACATATTAAATTAATAGACAGTAAAATTGCATTTAGGTTTTACTTTAACATTCTAGTTAATTATGTATAATTTGTATTTTAGAATTCATATTTGATAATTAAGTTTTTCTACTCATTGCTTCGCTGGTCATGCATTATAAAAAGAGACAAGAGCAAACATTATGCCATATAAGCAGACTCTTTGCTGATCATAACATTATACCACCAGCAGGGACCTGTTGAAGTGTGTAGATATAAATAATAAAATAATTTGTGAAAAGGTAAAGACATAAAATTACGCATATCACTAAAAGAAGATATTATAAGATTCAATGACGAGGAACCCACTTTGAGAATAAAAATGCTTGGAGATGGCTTGAATGGGTAATGAAGAAAAACTTTAATATAATGATGATGACAAAACCTTGTCGAAACGTTGTACATTTGCTGTTATGTTAAACTTATATTAAAGTTTTTCTTCATTACTCATTCAAGCCGTCTCCAAGCAATATTTATAAGATTGTTCAATGAAGAGATAAAAGGTAAATACATATTTCCATTTCTTAATTCTAAACATTTCATTGCACTTTACATTGATGATAATAGCTAAAGTAGAGAAAATGGAAAATAAAATATAAATATTTACCTTAGAAACTTTTGATATTAATTTAGGAGGTTCTAGTGATTATGCAAGCGAAATGTGAAAACCGTAAGATAAAAAAATAGTATTTTTATACTCAACATGTAAATCACCTTGCAAGTGAACTATTCAGATTCCTAGTGAAATAATTACTTTAAATAACGAATTTTTTGTACAAATAGCAGAAAAAATCAAATTTAAATATTTATTTTTCTGACACTACATACTTTTAAGAAAATACTTGTCAAATTTCAAATAATTTTATCCACTAGTTTCATTTTTGGAAAGAAACATCACCAGAGTTACATAACATACAAGGAATCTTTGTATAGCATCGTAGTAGGGTTAAGGAGGAAGGATGGATGGAATGGGAAAGAATGGAAGCTACTCATGTGCAGAGTCCAGAACACCTTGCAAAGGACCAGACAAATGCCATGCATGGTGTTGTTTCTGTTGAGCCACCAGGCCAAATCAATGTTTACCGAGGGAGAGAAAAGAATAACAGAGGATCTTGAGCAAAATTCCACTGATTGTGCAACACAAACTGAAGGGTCTGCATGTGGGCATAACTGAAAGGAATGAGGGCTTCCATGGAAGCCAAAGTCCCCAAAATAGAAAGAATTTCACATGCAATAAGGGAAGGAGAGGATTAAGCCTTGAAAACTAAGAGCTTCATCACTCACAAATGAAGTGGAGAAGGCTGGGCATGACTGAAACAGGAGTTGAAAAACATCCCCCAGGTGCATAAGGTAGTGGGATGCCAACTCACCTAAGCCACTTCTCCAAGAAGCAACTGGGTGTGCTTGTGAGATGTCTGATGAGAAGAAGCTAACAGTAGCCAGTTGTCCATGTAATGATGGAACCACAGACCATGAGAATTAATAAGTGAAGCAAAGTCCCTGACCACCCAATAAAATATGTAGGGTGCAAATGCCAGACCAAATGGCAAAGCGTGGAATTGATAAACTCGATCCTTGTGGACTAAATGAAGGTATCATCTACCTTCATCATTCAAAGACCTGGAGCATACACCCACAAAGGTGTGAGTACAGACTCCATGGGGAAATGAGAAAATGGTTGAGATGGGAAAGATCTATAACAGGATGCCAGTCCTCAGTCTTCTTGGGAACTATGAACAACCTGAAAAGAATCCTAGAGAAGGATGACTGACAGGTTCTATAGTGTCCTTGAGAAGGAGAGTCTGAATTGCTTTGGAAAGATGCTGGCAAAAAGTAGAATACTGAGAAGGAGGAAAGGGATTGGATGTGTGGATAAGGGAGGGAGGTTAAGCAAATGAAGGGAAAGACTTTCTGACAACACCTGAAGCACACAAGGATCTGAGGTACAATCGTTCCATAGATGCACAAACTTGGCGAAACATGTTCTGACCTTGCCAGACCCTACAAGACAGACACCAGTATCATTGGAGGCAGGGGACCCAGCAATGCGAAATTTGTCAGCTAGGCACTGAGACCCGAGAAAGAGGAACATGCAAAGGGGCAGAAGGTGGAGGGTGGAAAACAGGAACAGGCAAAGGGGCAGAAGGTGGAGGGTGGAAAACACGAACAGGCAAAGGCTGCGATAAACAAGAGACCAAGGATGAAAGGGAGGAATGTTGCCAAGCAGCCTCCAACCTGGACTCCAAAGAGTCGGAAAGACCTCCAAAAACCATTCTTCATAAAAATATGGCCACAAGAAGGTTCCATAAATAAGATGTGGGTAGGACACATTAGTTAACATCACATTCTTACCCAGGAGATCCCATCAACAGAGGAGGCATGTTTGAAGGAAAAGAGCCAAGGAAAACAAGCTCACCAACTTGGAATGCACAAAGGAGTGAGTATCCTCCTAAAACCTTGCAGGGGAGCAGGGGATAACCTTGAAGAAGATGGATGGAGTAGAAGTATCTCAGGAGAGTGTAGAGGTACAAATGGAGGCAGGAAAATTGGGCTTGGATAAATCTCACAGAGGTATCAGGATTAGAATCCCACACCTGGATCAAAGACTCTAAGGTTTGAGAGTCAAGAAACAGAAAATCCAAATGATATGCTAAAGCATGATTATCTGATGTATGAGGGGGATAAGGCATGTTGACCTCCAATTGCAACTGCACTACAAACTGGTCAGCATGAATCCTAATATCTGGAGAGGTACGGAAAACCTGGTAGTCAGAGGAAGGGGTGGAAAGCAATAGGGAAAGAGAGAAATCATAAGACATAGGAGATGCAGACAAAAGGTAACATTCCTGTGATTCCATATACAGAAAGGCTGAAGATGGTCTGTGGGTCAGCAGGTAAAAGATGGGATTGCACAGCAAGTGAAGGAGGTGGAAAGAAGCTATCCAAATCATCATCTTCTTGTCCAGGTTCACCAGGAAAAGGAAAACCTGGTCTGGGATCAGGAGACACCACAGGCCCCATAATGGACTCCAATTCATGACATACTAAATCTGAGACTTCCTCAGCCAAAAGTGTGGAGCCTGAAGCCTGAGAAACTGCAGGTTGAGGTGCATTAGTAGTGTTAACTACTGTGATAGTAGTAGTAGTAGTGATACAAAATTCAACTGCGAGTGGAAACAAATGCAACAACCAAAAGTAACTCAAGTTCAACTGCAAAAACAACAACTCAGGTTGCTTTTCAAATAAAGAAATAATAACTTAGATAATTAATAACACTTTGAATTATAATGTACTTAATAATAGTAATTTAATTAAAATACATTGATAGTAAAGTGGTTTAATGAAATTTTGAATGTAATACAGTAACATGTGCAGAAGAGGGTTTAAAAATGGAGTCATTCTTATAGGCTCTAGGAGCTCTCTTTCTGAGGGTGCTCATCTAGGTAAATTTTACACCAGTCCCAGTGGAATTCTAGCTATTATGTAAGTGGAGGTAAGGTATCGTATTGGAAGTTATAATTTTCCTAAATTGAAAATGTATTTCTGATAGATACTTACCTCCTTACAAACTTCTCACTCTTCTTCCCCACTTCAGGTGCTTCTTTTTTGCCTAATTTCGAAGTGAAAATTGGGTTCTACAGTATCTATGGGAGCCAACTTTGCCAGAAGAGTGTCTCACACTCCTATTGGAGGAAGGTTGTTGCATGCTTATTTGGGATAGGTGGGAGTACCAAGACTAGTTGTGAGATAAAAAAAATGTGTGTATATATAGAAGGCAGCACTGAATGAGAAAAGCTATTATGTGAGAAGAGGTTCAGTATCGTATGGGAAAAATCACTTAAAAAATATACAGTATATATCCTGCAATTTCTAATATTTATTTACAGACTAAGTTGTGTAGGTTTGAAAAACTGCTGTAATATGAAGTGCTACTACAAAGTTCTTATATTTTAAAACTACTTTAGAAAATATGTAAATTTTTGTCAAACAAATTTAAAACACTCTATAAATGCAAAATAAAATAAATTATATTTTGAATAAAGAAAAAATCATGATGGAAGATGGGAGGGCAGAAATTAAGTTATATCAGGCTTATTTTCCATTTAGCAAAGGCAAATTTTATGCCCACATGGAACTTCCTATGCTGCACTTTATTTAGGTAAACAACTTCACAATAGATCACTCACTATTTGGCAATTAACTGAAATAGTATGGGGCATTTCAATGACTTATTATTTTAAAACAACTGATTTATTCATGTTTTCAAAAGAGAGAATAACATTTACAGAAACAAACATTTTTCATACATTTCAGTAATGTATAAGTATTAAACATTGATAATGAACAATACCTAATAGTAATAGAGGCATACTTAAAAGCATGCTTACAAAGAATCCTGCAAAAGCTTGTGTTTCTGCTCGAGTTCTTTATATAAAGTCTCTTTGTCAGCTTGCAGCTGTATATTCTGAAAGATATTGTAACCAACCTGTCTTAACATAAGATGAATTTTTAAAGTTAGCTTGTTCAGTACCACTAGTTATAAAATTGCATGATTTTTTTCAAAATTGTATTGTAATACAATAAGTACAAGTGAGAAAAGTAACAAACTTTTTCAGTCACGGTTGTGAGTTTATATTAATTAAGATAAGAAGAGGTTGATATGATTGTTTAACTACTATATATAGTCAATCTGATACATTGATTTTTTTTCAATATTAAAACAAGTCTGTTTATTAATTTTGAAGAAAATACCTAGATGTTACACAGCAAATGGTTATAAATGCTGACATTCACAATTTCAAACATGTTTGTTTGACTGAACCATTTGGCATTTTCAACCTGAATGGTGCCTCATGTAGCACCTAGGCTAAATGGTCAACTCAGATTCCCAAGGTTCAGGTATAATCATCCATAATTTAGAACTGCTGATTAGAGACAGAGCAATCAACTGGCAACACCAACAGCTTACACATCTACTTTTAACAGTACACAAGGATTTGTTGCAACTCATGTAACACATCCATAGTTGCAAGCAGGCTTAAATTTTGGACCTTCCAACCCACAACTCAGCACACTGTCCAATAGGCCACGTACAGTTCATTTTGTCTAAGGACAAGATATAGGAACTGCAGGTGCTTAACCAGTGGGAAAACATCTACTTACGACATTCATACATGTCTTATGTTTACAGCACATGCAAACAAAAAGGAGAGTAATACATTTATGAAACCTTTAATGATGACCCTTAAAGGGTTCAAGGAACAAGAACACAAAATTCAGAAACATGATGAATTTCTCCAAAGAAGAAACTCATGCTTAAAACTAATCATTATTAAGAATTAATGATCATTAAATATATAGAAAATGTTTAATTCTTAACCACTTTATAACACTGAAAATGAACACTGTAACTTAAACTAGGGTTACCAAATATTTACTTCACATTACCTAACAAAGGATGATTTAGTTTTCTATGTTAAAGCTTGTAGTCAAATTCAACAAGTTACAGGTAAATATTAAACACTTATAATCACTGTATAAAAGTTTAAAGAGTTAGATAACTTGGGGCCAAAATAAAGCTCATTTATGTAAATTATGGGCCCATGAAAGTTTTAAAGAAAACTACTGCACAACATATATTTGTTAAAATACTTTATTTTAATATTTTGATGGTTATTTTTTAAGTTACAGCAGAAACTTCCTATGCATTTATCTCACGTTGCTAATTTTCACATAAAAGAGCTTGAAGACCCCATTTTTATAACTTTGTATGAAAGATTTCTGTACAAGAGATCAGATCTCAGAATGGACTGAATACAGTCCTCTACAGTTATAACAACACACAAAACATTAAACAATACTAGTGATTTATCAGATGTAAAATAGCCACCAATATCTGCACAAATTTTTCTTTTCTCTCTCTCTCTCTCTCTATATATATATATATGTGAGATTCTCTGTTGATTTCTTTAAAGCTTGATAAGTACTTCCAATAATAAATGCAATTCAAAAAGTTACCTAATCAAACTGAAAGAAGCAGAAGAATGATATGATTTAATATACTTGGGGAACTACACCCTAGATTTTAGCATTGTAAGTCTGTAAACTTACTACTGTCCTACTGGGGAACATTAAATTTACTATCAGTCAATCTTCATATGTTTAATTATAAAGAGTAAAATTGTTCAAAGACCATTTCAATAACCTTTGAATTTTTAATAATAAATGACCAATGTATAATAAAATTCATTAATATACACCATTCTATTCTTAAAGTCACTAAAAATAATCTACACTTTCTTATTTTGACAAAAGTGAAACAGGCACTAAGAGGACCAAATTTCTTTCCTTATTATGTCATATTATGTAGTTTTAAAAAAGTTTAAGTTCAAATGCCTAATTCAAGTGAATACTGTGGCTGAGAAAGCATAAATGTATAATTATAAATTATTATTTCAGTTTTTCTCAGAATATTATTAGTCATTATATCATTTACAATAACTATCTTAAGATAGTGTACTGACAATTCTGTGAAGTTCTTTACTTTCACAGTAAAATTTTTTCACCATATTTTTTTTCGAGGAAATATATTTTCAATTTTATGTAAAAATTTTCTTTTCTAAGATCTGCTACTTGCTATGAACAAATAGTTTGAACAAAAATATTCAACTATCAAACTTATTAACATAAAACACAATAGGCCATGAGTAAAAAATATATACATGTACATTAAAGTTTGTACATGAATTGTTATGTTATGCAATAACTCTGGTAGTCTGTTTTGTGTATTTGTATACATAACAAAAGTGGTACACATTTCATCCTACCACAGACACTAAACAAACTGTATTTTCAAAACTAGGCTTATAGATCCAAATAAATGGTTTAGACATATATAACATAACACTTAAGGGCAAAAGAGAAACTGTTGGTCTATCTAGACCATCTCATCCATTAAACTAAATTATTAACAAAACAATTCAAGGCTAGCCTTTTTCATTCAAATATTTATCAAGCCTTCTTTTAAATTCTCTTAAATGTATTGCTTCCACCACACCTGAAGGCAATCCATTCCAAAAGCCAATTATCTTGTTAGAAAACTAAAACTGTCTCAGGTGAAGATGGCACTTACCTTTCCAAAATCTAGTCTAATCATTCTCAACATTAAGTTTGAAAAAAGATGACCCATTAATACTATGAATCCCCTTAGCAAACTGTTAACAGTTGTGGATCTCATATAAACTGTTCTGACATATGCAGTTGACAATTAGATATGTTATGATTACAATAGGACTAATGAAAAGACAATATTAGACATCACATTTTCTAAGCATATAAATTCATATAAATAGAAAAAAAGAGAGATATAATACACATCTGGTATGCAGTACAATACAAAAAACTAACACATTTTAAAAATATCAGAATGATATAGATAGATGAACTCCCAATCAACACAAACATTTTATTTTAGATACAAGTACTGAATGGTTGACTGAATTTATAATCAATACAAAAAACTTGATATTATAGATATAAAAAAATTTCTGTATACCAACCTGATTGTATTCTCTCATTGTTCGAGCTCGCACTAGAGATATAATGGCAGCTCTTTGGATTGCCACAAGAAAACTTATGAATATATTGCAATATTCTTGAACCAAACATTCTTTGATAAAAACAATATTTTCAAAATATGTATATTCTTAAGACAATACAGACAAGAAAACTGTCAATAGGTTTCCAGTACTTTCATATTTACATAAATATTATAAATTTTGCCCATCAATACACACGTTCTATTTAATTATTTTATGTACAGCCAGAAAAAAATAATGGTGGTGATTGGGCTACTTCAGTCAAGTAAGTTCTTAAAAGTCTTTTCAACATACTAATAACATTCATTTCTGCTCTGAATGTTGAAGTACATACTAGTATTTTATACAGCAGTCCTGTTGAAAGTACAAATAAACTCTTTAAGAACTTGTTTCACTGAACAGTCATCTGAAATGTATTATAAGTGTATTCAGATGTAAGTACATTTAATAAATATTGGTAAACTCTTTAAGAACTTGTTTCACTGAACAGTCATCTGAAATGTATTATAAGTGATTCAGATGTAAGTACATTTAATAAATATTGGTAAACTCTTTAAGAACTTGTTTCACTGAAAAGTCATCTGAAATGTATTATAAGTGTATTCAGATGTAAGTACAGTTAATAAATACTGGAAAACTTTTTAAGAACCTGTTTCATCGAAGAATCAAGACATGTAATATAAGTGTTTCAGATGCTGTTTCTAATATGCATTTTTCAGTATTTTAATGTCTGAGTCATTTCTTAACATTGATTTTCTTATATATTTTGCAAAACCAAATTCAAGGTTAATTGCATGCACTTACGTCAGTACTTCCAGTGAGAAATCCATCACACGCACATATTCATACTATGATGCACCTAATTATTTTGTTTTTGGCCTTCAATTAATTATGTATGTTGTAATTCACAAATGTATTACTAAAGATTACAAAATTTAATTTATTTGAAAAGATAACTTTATTTTGCTTCATACGAATTCTCCAAAAACCATTATGGTATTAAAGTGGAAAAACAATTTTATCAATCCAAAAATATCTTATATTTATATTAATATTATAGTGTAGTAATAACTTTTTAACATGCAATAAAATAGTCCCCCAGTGGCTCACAGTAAGTATTAAGAATTATAATACTAAAAACTGGGTTTTGATTTTGATACCCATGGGCACAGCACAGATAGCCCATTGTGTAGCCTTGCACTTAACAAGAAACAAACTAATGATAAAATATCCCCCCCCCCCCAAAAAAAAATCTCCAGCAAATCAGTCCTCTAAATAGGGAGCTAAACATTAAATAATAATTATGTTATAAGTTATTTTGATAAATTACTACAAGATAAGTTATTAATTTACTAAATTAGTACTTGATAATTTAAACTTATCAGTTAACTTTCTCTGAACATTCTGCTGATGCAAAGTCTACGTATATCATGTTTAAAACATGCCTTAGTTATCTACAAAAGATTAAATTGTGCTTAGATTTTTAATATGAGAAAATCATTGTAATATCCATTTATGATATAATACCTAAAGTGGGAAAGTGACAATCATGAACTCAAAACTCACCTGTAGATGTGGAAACATCTGATTTATTAACAGAATCCATGGTGACTTCCAGTGGTGTAGGAAAGAGTTGCAAAGTAGGGGTGTTTGGCTGGACATACAAATAATATAACAATATAATTTATAGTTGCTATATAAGTCAAATATGCAAATAATATACAAATAAATACAAATGGGTAAAAAGAAGGCTATAAAAATTTACCCAAAACAAGGGACAAAGTGAAATATTACACTTTCACATCACACCAGGGTCCTAGTGTAGGTATACTACAGTCCTTAGTGTATGTATTTCAACAACTATTCTAAATAAACATACACAAGGAAAATAAATCCCAAACTCATCATAACTTGTACATGTCCCTGCACCACCCCTAAAACCAGCTTAACCCCATTCAATGGGGCAAATACAGACCCAGAGCCAAGCATGTAAAAGCTTCTATGGAACACTAGTTTTAGAATGTAACTATTACCAAAGCAAGGGTATTAATGCATGTTTACAACCTTCATCATCTGGTTTACTAGAAAAACACTAAATATGTGTAGAGTCTGCATGAAAATTTTGAAAAATAACCTGAATATATATATAAAGATATATTCTATTCTAGTAATGGAAATATGAAATATGGTGATACTAATATCATCACAGTTTTGCACAATATCCACCTTTTCTACCCTTTGATTATCTTATCCATATTTTCAAACATTTTTGTGAAAATATGCAAATATGACACATATAATATATATATATATGTAGATAGATATAGATATAAAGATGTTCCCCAATTTCAACCCTCTCAACCATTTCTATATTAGATGTAAACAATAAATCTGATAAAAGAATAATGCAAATATTAAGTAAAAATATTAAAATACCATTGAGGTGGCTTAGAAAAAAAGTAGCTTTCAGGAATATTTTCTTGCAATAATGCAACTTCTGCTTTATGCTTTCAGTGTTAGCTAAATTGTTAGCATAAAAAACATAACTTCGGCTCAGAAAGCAAAAAAAGGCATTTTCGTGACTTTTTAAGTTATATTTTAGGATAATGTACTATTAGGAACTAAAAGCTACTTTTTACCGTCTACACATTATAAGTGTGAGCTATTGCAAAGTCTATTTGCCTTTATAAATAACTTTGCATATAACTGCCATGAAACATTCAATCACTTTGATATGTAAGGGATTACATAAAGTAACATTTAAAATTACCTACATAAACTGGTAACTACACCCTTGTAAAATTTCTATTTTTACATATACTACATAGAAACACACATTTTGTGGATATGTTTTTTAAATCTCTTATATAGATTTTAGCACAAAAGATGAATTTCTGCAGGGTCCCCAAAAAGGCTCTGTTTCAAAAATAAATAAACCAAAATTAAGAGTAACAAATATTTCTTGCTTTTGAAGTTCATATGTCATGCTGTGTTATAGCCTACAGAGTGTATAATTCTTCTTGTGATTCATGGTATGTGCTTGTTTTACTGACACTGTGACAGTACAAATTGCAACATCAAGCATCCCATATGTGACTAATGTCTTTGACTGACTGACAGACAACACACTACTGTATATTGGTATGAGTGGTTAAAACAGGTGAACCCTACAGATGGTCTTCAGCCCCTTTTGGGGATATGACTATCATCTTTTCTATTATGCAAAATCTCTTTAAAATGATTTACAAAATTGTATTATGTCATTTCCAACCTCCAACTATTTATTTGCATTTTACTTCATAAATGATATGTAATTTTTTAAAATGATATTAACTGTTATTTATTAGTTTCTTTATTTCTCTCCCAAAAGTACATTTAAAATCACCAAAATATGTTGCCAACAGCTCAACTAGTAATCACAATGATACATACAGTTATGTATATCTAGATTTATGAACTTTTGTAAACAGGTGAAGAAACTCTACCACACTGGACAGAAGATGTCATTCAACACCATTAAAGCTTAAAAATTGTGCCTATCACAGGAACGTCGAGAGCCAGCACGGGCCCCGGGGCAAACAACCTCGCTGGGCCCCTTTCTCTCTCTCTCTTTTTTAACATTTTTTATAAATAATTTATTAAAAAGAAGATCCTAAATTAGGGCAGCAACGAGCTCATAAACCAGACAAAATCATAGCAGCAGCCGTTTTTACCTCACAGTATAAGCGTAGAAACGTTAATAAAGTAACAACAAATATCTATTAAATCTATAAAGTAACAAATACATATTAATTATTACTCAAATTATTATTTCAGTCGTTCTTAATGTATCAAGCGTCTATATGCAAAGAAAAGCCAAAAACTATGGTTTTTATCATTAAATGAAAATATAGCCTAAAAGATGCTTTGCGGGCTTTATGGCTTAACCAGGTTTCATTCGCCCGGGCCCCTGGGCAGTTCCCCCCCCCCCCCCCCCCCCC